ATTTGGATCTGGATTTGCACTTATATCTCGTGGTCGCGAATCCGCCGTTTCTGCAACTAGAATTGCTTTTAGTTATGTCGTTTTTGTATGAAGATGGAGAAGAGAATAAACAGTACATAAAACAAGCTATATGGACAAGTACACAAAGCTAATTAGTGGACACGTACACAAAATATTCCCTATAGATATTTTTTAGTGGATATATCCTTTGACTGTAATATCATGTATATGTTGTAGTTTCTTTAACCAACGAATGCTTGAATATGGTTGCCTTAAATTAAATTGGTGTGGACCTTCCATATGGACATATTATCATATACATGCCGTATTAGTTATTTTGAATATATTCGCTTAGAATCAAAGTTTGTTTGTCATGTACATGTCCACAAATCATTTAACTATAAGTCTACATTCTATATGGTTATAGTTATATGGATAGTTAAAGTCATGTGGATATGTACACATAACTCACTCCTTGTATAGATATCTAAATTTGCTTCATATTTTTTATGTGTTTCCAGTGACTGTCATCAGTAATTGTACATGTCCATGACAATACAGAACAATAAGATAATGACTTAACCATGGACATTCCGTTGATAGTTTAATAAATAGTCAATAAAATATATATGTGGACATGTCTTAATGGACATGATTACGATGGATAAGATAATGGGGACACGATTTGAACATCAAAATATCACATGCCTAGATAAATGCATAGACAAATAAAGAAGAGAGAAGCTACGAGAGGCTGGGATATGGCATAGAAGACGACATGAACAACAACAGACATGACGACACAGACAATAGGAGATATGGTGTAAGAATGATGAGTGATACAAAGCTTTATGTCCATGTCCACGTGGATACACCCATATTGATTTGAAGCTTAAAATGCATTGTGTTTATCTGTGTGGATACGTCCATAAACTTTATGTCCATCGTAAGAAGAAGCAGATTTGGTCAAGAGGGTCATCACTGGTAAACAAAAATAGAGAGTGATACAACGTTTGTGTCCATGTCCACATGGATACACACATATTGATCCAGGTGCAAATCCGGATAAACATCTGGTTGTGCCAGTCAGGAGACCAACATATGATGGTGGAAAGTAGCTGCGAGCTCACAAAGAGTTTGGGAGCTTTATCAAGAAGAGGAGACCAGATCTATAAGAAATGAAGATGCAAAGAAAGATTAAGAGGGAATACAAGGAGAGGATGAACCAACTTAAGGAAGATACATTAACCATGTTACCTCAGGTCTATAACAATGAATACATAACCATCGATTAGATGAATGCGTATATAAGAATTAGTGGATACTTCCATATGACCGTGTGTGTGGATGTGACCATGTCCTGAAAATGTTGTTGCCGAGATCCGTTTTGATGAATCCACGAGTAAAGAAGAACGAAATCACGATTAGCCAGATGAGCTCGTTGGTGAAAACAGCGAAAGCGGCTGTGAGCTAAAGCGGTCTGTTGACGACTGAAGAATGAACCTGAAGGGACTATTTGATGAAAAGCTTTGTAGATCTAAAGTTTTAAAGCTGTCAGAGATGTTCCGCAGCAGAGAGTTTCTATCTCTCCTCATATTCAAATTAAAAAAGACCTAGAAATCTAAAAGAAGAAAAGAGGAATGAAGAAAGAAGAAGAAAAGCACGAAGGAAGAAGGAAGAAAAAAAAAGAATGTTGGTTTAATAAAATTGGGTTAAAGAGATTAAATTGAAAATTGGTTAAAGTGGTAGACATATTTTGGTTTAATAACAGGTAGGGGGTATCTTGTCATTTTTCCTATGAAAGATAAAAAGAAGTGTCATCTAAAATGGATGTACCAAAAAGTGTAAACGTAAACTTAAAAAGTGCTATTGGAAGTAAATATTTCTTCTAATAACCCTATAAGAGGTTCAGGTTGGATGCATAAAAAACATAGAAGTTCTAAACTTTTCAGCTTTGAAAACAATATTAATAAAAATACATAAAAACTCAATCACGGGGTAGAGCTGGAATGGAGCCAGATATCCGGACTTTTCAAGGTATCCGGATCCGAATTCGGATTTGTCGGAATAATCAATTTTACTATCCGGATCTGGATCCGAAAACTCCGGATATTCGGAGACCGGATATCCGGTTTGAACCAAATATTTACGGATATCCGGTTTCGTTGCTTTAAAAAAGATTTTCAATTTTTAAAAATTATAATGAGATAACATATATAATTAAAATGTATTATCATAGTAAAAATTACAAATACCAAAAATTAAAAATATCCAAGTAGCATTCAAATAGCACAAAATTTAAGTTTACATAGCAAAAGAAAAAATAGTAATAGAGAAGTTAATTTATCTTCATAGCAAAAGAGAAAATAATAATAGAGAAGTTAAAAGTTTACATAGTAACGGATAACGGATATCCGATTTCAAAATTTTCTATTATCCTGGTCTGTATCCAAAATAACCGAATACTTAATTCAACTATCCGGATCTGGATCCGAACTATACGAATATTCGGTTTTTACGGATTGGATAAGACTGGATACTGGATCGGAGACCGAATACCGGATAATAATTTCAGCCCTATCATGAGGTACAGGGTTGTACATACCTTAAACATTGGTTTTTAAAAAATTTAAGCATTTTGATTTATTTTTAATATTATTTTATGACTAAGAACCCTATATACAGGGATGGAGATGGTTTTGGATAAAATTTATAATAAAACCCATGAGGAATGATCATGGTCTAATAATCTTACTGTTGTCACAACGAGCGATAATAATAATATTAATGTGATACTGAATTTAAAGTGTTCGTATTAAAAAACAAAAAAAAATCTCTTATAAAATGAATTAGAAAAATGCGAGAATTTTAACAAGAATAAAATAGGAATTTATTGATTATTTCGTTAACAAAAATACAATATACAGTAGAAGAATTTCGTTATCCGTGGGACAAGTAAGGGCAAATCTGTCAATATAAGTATTTGATGTAAAGGTACCAACGAACCACGAAGCGTCTATATTAGTAACTTCTTTCCCAAGAAACACTATCTTCTCATAATTTTACATCTTCCTTCTCATTTGTTTCTTGCCTTTCTTGCTTCTCTCACTTCACAATCACCGTTCTGATGAAAATCTTCTTCTTCTACGAGATCTGAGTTTCATTTGTATATTCACGGAAGAGAAGAAGAATGACGATGATTTATCCACCAGAGGATCAAATCGTCGCATATTATCTGAAGATGATCACGGACAAAGGAAACGATTGGTCAAGCAACTTTCTCGAAAGCAAAGACGTATACTGCGTAAATCCATGGACGCATTTCAATACTCGAGAACCTTTGGTCCTACACGACGGAAGATACTTGTTCGTTAACCGGACAGAGAATTCCGGTAAAACCGATGGATGTGAATCTGGTTGCTGGAGAATCATGGGTCGGGATAAACTGATCAAGTCGGAGAAGAACGGGGAGATTCTAGGGTTCAAGAAGGTTTTCAAGTTCTGTGAGAAGGAGGAACCTAAATCGATTTTTAGGTGTTGGGAAAAGGAGAAGAGAAGAGTAAGAGACAAGAGGATTTGGGTGATGCAAGAGTATATGCTTGCGAGTAAATGGAAACGAGATTACGTGATCTGCAAGATTCGTCTTCTGAATCCTCACCCACTTGAGTTCATGTTATCCAACCATATTCGAGGTTACTATATATGAATCATCATAAGATATATGATCATGATGATCATTCCTTCAAAAAAAAAAAAGATGTATGATCATGGATTGAAGTATCGATTTATGTTTTCGTTTTCTGGAAATTCTGATATTGTTTTGTTATTCACTTTCTGAATTTTATATTTTTCTCCATTCAATTTGGTTTACACATGCAGTAATATGCTTTCGTTATTTGGCTTTGATTTTTGTGGCTTGGTAGTTATAATTGAAATAAATTGATTAGTGGAATCGTTTCATCACTTTCTCATTTTTTACCTGTTTATTGGAATCTATTGGTTATGCAGGTTGTAGCAATTTTTTCAATGAAATGTTGACACATAATGGAATTCGACTTTTTAAGTGTCTAGATTTGGAATTCTAAGATAAAATTTATCTAAAAGAATAAGACTAAATAAACTTCTAATTGTGATTGACATCTAGCCTTAGCGCTGATGTTCCCTGTAATACATGGTCCTGAAATTTAAACCCAACTAAGAAAAGAAAATAAATAATTTTCTGATCTTTGTGCCCATCGAGAGACAAATCTCGGTAAAAGTATGTTTTGGAGAAAACAACAATCGCATAAAACCTCGAGGTACGCTCAAAACACTTTTCCGCTTCTCTTTTTTTCTGATGGATGTTAAATTTTATTCAATCCAAAAAAAAACAATGTTTCTACACCAGAGATGCGAACTTTTAAAAACAATATTTCCGCTTCCTTTTATCTCACAATTCAAGAAAATGAATCCCATATGCTCAGTTTATAATTCATTTCTATGTGTATGATACAACCGAGTGTGTATTTTACTTTTTGATCGAATTAGCTTTCCGATGAGTTAGTTATGTAGTCCTGAAATTTTTGTTTTGTCTTCAAGTTGTTATCTACGTTTAAAGCTGTGAAACGCTTATAAAATTATTCAAAACTTAAGTAAAATGTAAGTACAATATAAGCAAAAAAAGGTGATAACGAAAATATTGGTTTGGTGTTTTCTATCTTGAAGCTGATGTTGTATGCTTCTAAGATAAAAACATACATTTCTTTATCCAAAAGCATAAGATTGTTTGCCAAAAAAAAGCATAAGATTAAATAAACATTATTACAAACCAAATAAAATAATATGTAGTTTACATTACATTGTTATAATCGCAAATATGGTTGATACTAGTCTTACATATATAGATCCCTTTCATAAGTAAAACATACATGGTTTTATACTTTTTTTTATCACTCTATCTGATTACTAATAAATTAGAAAGCTATGGTATCATAATTCATAAAGTCATTGATCTCAATCGATAAAGGCGATGTTTGTGATATGAGCAGCCTCCATATCGGTGAGTTGCTTTGCATAGGAAACTTTTAACTGTGATTGACTTCTGGTATGTAGCGCTGACGTTCTATGTAATACACCGTCTTGAAAACTAAAACCAATTAAGAAAAGAAAATAAGATAAATATTTTTCTGATATTTGTACCCAGCACGAGACAAATCTCAGGAAATGTATGTTTTGGAGAAAGCAACAGTCGCACAAGGCCTCTAGGCGCGCTCAAGCCACACTTTCCCGCTTCCTTTTATCTCACAATTCAAGAAAACGAATCACATCTGCTCAGTTTGTAATTCCTGTCCATGTGTATGATACAACCGAGTGTATTTTACTTTTTGACCGAATTAGCTTTCTGATCGAGTTAGTTATGTAGTCCTGCAATTTTTGTTTTGTCTTCAAGTTGTTAATTTACATGTAAAGCTGTGAACTAATAAAAAAAATACTCAAAACTTAAGTAAAATGTAGGTAAAATATAAGCAAAAAAACAAAAGTGATAACAAAAATGTTGGTTTGAGGTTTTCTATCTTGAAGCTGATGTTGTATGCTATGAAGTTAGCTACAACAATGCAAATTAAGATGAAAATAACGAGAGGAAGTAATATTGGTGGGTAGAGAGCAAAAATGATGTGTAAACGGAGGGATTAGCTAGGTTTGGCATTGGTAAAAAGTGGGGAAATGTTGGTTGGTACTAATTCTTGTGTGAGGAAGACTGGCGTGGAGTGGAAGTAAAGTGAAGGATATGGGCTTCTAAAACATTTGGTGATTGAACGGGAAAATATTCGCAGTAGGAAAAAAAAAATTGAATGGAATTGATGGTTTATTCAATATTACTTTAGGAACCTAATCACTCAAAGTAAATTCATCTAATTTTAATGGGTCTTACTAAATGTGTGGAAAAAAAACATAATTTTTTATAGAAATGGTTACTCTTCAAAATTGGGATAGATCACCATGAATTAAAACAACTAATGGAAATCATTTCTTCAAATGATTCTGACTAATTTCAATCGTAGATAGACAAACCTCTCCAAAATTGACGACGGACCTACCCTATGTTGTGTTTTTGCAATAGTTCATCTAGAGTTGTCTGTAAATATAGTAAAATGAAAATCCAAATTAATGTTTAGAACATGCATGAAATAATATAGCAAAAGCAACCTTCACAAGCCTCCTTTATGCGTACATTCTTCCTCTTATTCTGGAACCGGAACTAGACTTGGAACATATACATGGCAATCGCAACGAAATAAATCATACCATATAACTCGTCTTCTCATCTCAAATTGTTTATTGATATTACCCTCACCCATTTTGTAAACATTGACGTACACATATATGCTGTTAATGCCCGGTCCATCTTCCTTGCCCCATAGCTTGAACTTATTGCTCAGAAAACTGCAATGGAAAGTGGTGTGTAATTTTGGAACAAGGCGAGATACACTAAAATACTTACTCCATGAGACAGTCCCGTCGGTCACCTTATTAGTAACCCAAAAGTCAATCTTCACATGGTTATGATGTAATAAAGAAAGCCTTTCTCTTCTGAAACCTGACAAGACTACTTCATCATCAGAACTCACACGAAAACATTCAGTATGTATGGGCTTGAACGTTTCTGTGGAAAAATCAAAACTTTGGATGAAGACTTCGATTCCAAGGTTAACCTTCAAATCCTTTTGAGCAATCCAATACATGTTTCCATAAATAGACACAGGTTTCAAGAGTTCATTGCATTCAAGAGCAGCATCAACACTTCTCCAGAGTTTAGACTTAAACTCATATATCTCAATCTCTGTTGAAAATTTGCGCCTTCTTTCTTTACACATCCTCAAGATCTTGTAGTTGTCACGGGATACATTGTCGTATCCAAAACCGTAGACTTCAGGGTAAGATTTCAAGGGTTGTTTGATCCATTTGACTCGTCTCAAAAACGGATTCCAAACTGCGAGCTCTCCTCTTGTATCACCATAAGTTCTAAATAGCAATAATCCGTCGCAGTGAATCGTTTTTGAATAAACACGACTGTGAAACTCGTTTGGGATTGGTAGACGTACAAGGGCTTCGGTCTCTAGATCAAAGAGTTGAATGTTATCAATATCAGGAAAGATGAATCGTTCCTTGGAGTTGGAGATATCCAAGTGTTTGTAGATGAATATTTTCTCGCTGAGGAGACCATACCATTCTTTGCATACCGATTTGAACCGTACCAAAGATTCAATCGGAATCTTGTAAAGTATCTCTTCTACTAACTCAAAAGGCAGTAACGACGAGGAAGACTGCTTTGTCGAAGTCATGGAAAGAAAATTTAGAAAACTAGGTCTAGGTCAGGAAGAGGAAACCAAAAAAGGTTCCTTTTATATACCCTAATCGATTACTTGGAATAAAAGTCAAATTTAGGTCTGGTAAGGGTAGAATCGGTTTACCTATAAACCGGATTTTTTTGGTTAGGTTTAATTTCCGGTTCATATTTGTTGAATTTCTCTCTAAATCAAAAATGGGGATAACGATTCGTCTGTCGACAATGAGGCGTCTTGGAATCATCACCGTCGCGAACTCCGCCGTCGTCACCCCGACGTTACTCTCTTCGACGACGGCTTTCGCCGGAACCCTAGCCTTACCCTCTTTTCTCCGCAACCACCGTCTTACCAATTCCGTTCGTTTCCTCGAATCCCGAAACCTCGCCTCTTTCTCCTTCTCATGCTTCTCTTCTTCGTCTCGCATTCCAGCGCTCGACGAGCTCTCATCAACTAAAGGTGAGTACTTTTTATTTAAGGGCTGTTTTGGTTCAATTTGGGTTGAGAAATGTAGTATTTAACGATGGTTCTCTAAGGTTATGTGGCGAGAGATGATAACCAGAAGGTGGTCTTGAAGGGTATGAGTTATGCTGCGCTCCAAGTACGGTTTTTCAATTCTCAATCTTTTATCATCTATTTGGTTTGATGCTTGAATTTCATAAATTCAGGTTCAGTTTCTCCTTTTTGGGTTGCTTGATGCCAAGTAGAGATTGTTGATTAATGTTTCTATCATTAAAGAACAATGCGTGTTTGCTTGAATCTGGTCTTTGATTGAATTTGGGTAAATTTTGTACTTGTAGGAATGGGTTGAATCGCATGGATTTCGCCCGGGGCAAGCGATGATGCTGTGGAAGAGATTATACAAGGACAATGTATGGGCAAATGATGTTGATGAACTTGAAGGTTTGTCTACTGATATGTCTCTGCTCAGAAGATTTTGTGATCCAGAAACGCCGAGTGATTCTCATTGATGCGTGCATTCTTATAGGCCTGAACAAAGATTTCAAGAGAATGATCAGTGAACATGCTGAGTTTGGGGCATTATCTTTGAAAGATGTTCGTTCGGCTTCAGATGGAACTAGGAAGGTGAATAGATCGTTTCTTTTTTCGTATAAATAGTTATGATGATGTGGATGAGTCACTGACTAATATCTCAGTGAGTTTTGGGGAATTTTCTCACTGATTCATAACTCGCAGGATGTTGCAGATTCTGTTCACGTTGGATGATGGACTTGTGATTGAGACAGTTGTTATACCTTGTGATCGTGGCAGGACAACAGTTTGTGTTTCGAGCCAAGTGGGTTGTGCCATGAATTGTCAGTTCTGCTACACTGGCAGGTAAAAACCATAATGAAGATATGCTCTTGAACCGTCGCTTTTTTCTCGGCTTTCGAGTTGCTGATATAATGCATGTAGTTTATCTTCTTTTGCAGGATGGGTTTGAAGAGAAATCTCACTGCTGCTGAGATAGTTGAGCAGGCTGTTTATGCAAGGCGATTGCTTTCTCATGAATTTGGGTCAATAACCAATGTCGTGTTTATGGTATGCATGTTGAGCCACATTCAAAGTCTACTGTTTTTTTTGTGTTCAGTTTCTCATGGAGCTGAATGTGTTTTGTAGGGAATGGGAGAGCCATTTCACAATATTGACAATGTCATCAAAGCTGCAAACATAATGGTAGACGAGAATGGACTTCATTTTAGTCCCCGCAAGGTCACAGTCTCGACCAGTGGCCTTGTTCCTCAGCTGAAGCGGTTTCTTCGTGAATCGAATTGCGCTTTGGCAGTTAGTCTAAATGCAACAACTGATGAGGTTTATTTTCATGCTGTCTCTTTTGAAACAGTCATCATTTCATAAGGTATGATCTGACCTCATTGAACGTTAACCTCGCAGGTTAGAAACTGGATTATGCCTATCAACAGGAAATACAAGTTGTCTTTGCTCCTTGAGACTCTCAGAGAAGAACTCAGTTCAAAGCACAAATACAAAGTGTTGTTTGAATACGTGATGCTTGCAGGAGTGAATGACAGGTAAGTGAAAACATCACTAGAGAGCACTGTTAAGCTCTCTGTTTCGTAACTTCAAGTCTCCTCTGTTGATATTTGATATTATTCAAATTTGAAACCATCTAATTGTGCAGCATGGATGATGCAAGGAGGCTAGTGGAGCTTGTGCAGGGAATCCCATGCAAGATCAACCTTATTCAGTTTAACCCACACAGTGGTTCTCAGTTCATACAGACTGAGGAAGACAAGATGATCAAGTTCCGTAACATTTTGGCTGGAGGAGGCTGCACTGTTTTGATGCGGTTTAGCCGAGGCAACGATCAAATGGCTGCATGTGGGCAGCTTGGCATGCTTGGTACGGTTCAGGCACCGGTTATGCGGGTGCCTGAGCAATTCCGCACCGCTCTAAAAGCATCAGTTTGATCTGTCAAATGTCATGATTAGGTCAAAGAAACTAAAATCTCCACCATGCTGTAAGATAACATTGATTAGATGTCAATTCTATTTGTTTTCTCCAGAGGCTATGTAACGATACAATTGTGTGAAAAGTAGTAGCTACAATGATGAGAAATAGGATTTTTTTTGTTTTTTTTGGTAGCAGTTTCTACAAAAAATGCCAATTAGAAGATGTAAATTGGATTACAACTTGAACCTATGGAATATGGAGCCAGATTTTTAAGAACAAATATTTCCTCAACGTCTATACAATAATAAACTTAAAACTCTGTTAGAGCGGTGAGCAATGTCTTGACTTGGATGCTGCATTGTCATCAGATGCTTTCTTTTGTTCTATACAGGTTCTATCTGTCTGGTCATTGTGGCTCGTTACTGACACGGAAGAGATCGATGAGTGTGTTTCGGATTCTGATTCTCAAAGCAGAGGCTTCATCGGGTCTAAACCATTTCTTGTCAAACTGGATGAAATTTAAGCACACAAGTTGATTATACAAGAGTATGAGAGTGTAAGATATTAGTATTAGGAAGAGAGTATGAGATAACACTCACCATTCCTAGGTCTTTTCTTTTCAGCCTTTGAGGTGCCTCTTCGATGAACCGTTTAATGAAGAAGAGAACAAACGGACCACAGTCAAAATCATTCTTTTGTTGTGGAACCTGGTTACACAAAGAGAATACCATAAGACAAATTGATCTGCTCGTGTGGTTCTAGTGTTTAAATAGTCAGATTTCACATGAAACCGACTAAAGAAGTTATCATTGAATCATGGGACTAAAAAAGTTAACCGTCTGACCTGTATATCAGCTTCGCTAATCCTACGCGGGAGGTTTTTCCATATATTCTCTGAGATTGGTAGATTCGAAGAATAATCATCTTGTTTCAAGTAGATCCATTCGTCTTTTAGAAACCTGTAAAATGTTGACTGCATTTTCAAACCACTGAAATACCATCTCGTTTTTACGTATTGAAACCATATATGCATAGAACGCATGTGAAAAGATAAAGCTCGTGTGCCCACCTTTTGACATTATCAAGAATTGATCTTTTTGAATGAAGTCCTAATGAATCTAGGTGAAGTATCGTCAGTCCTGATTCATCTTCCTTGTCCGGGATGCAAACTATTACTAAGCTCCAGTGGAGACTGTAACATGGTACAAGATTCATGGTCAATACATAGATTCGTTAGAGATTTTTATGAAACAGTTTAGAGATTTTGTTTTTAGATGTCAATTGCTATTGAAATAAAAATTCAGGTTATTATATAAAGTCGTAACTAGAGTAGTAAAGTGAAAGCAACTTACTCTTCATGAATTGGTATAAATATATAAGCTTTACGGAATAGATCGACACCCTTCCACCACCGCCTGAACTTTACAAAAAAGGCATCCTTGTCATTTCCCTATTTAATAGAAATGAAAAGACACTGATTAAAAATGAAACAAGGTAAAGAGTAAATCATGCAAACCAAACATAATGCATTGGAAAATTGATCACCTTGTATGTAACAGCGTCACTTAGCTTCTTGTAGAAATAAGTGTTAAAAAAATGGCAATCAGCAGAGATTTGATTCGCCGCAGATACCTGCTGCTGCAAGAACCTAGCCAAAGAAAACAGAGACAGTAGAATCATTATAAAATGGCATGGACTCAAAAGAGACGTAGCTATTGGAAATAGTGCAAGTACAATACAAGATAACATATATTGCAAGTCTATCATTTCATAATCACCTGATGTAGAAGTTCATAACCGGCGATGTTAGAAATTCTTGAGGCCCAAGGCACTCAAGATCTTTAAGACAAACTTGAACAAAGTCTGGATCATCCCTGGATCACCAGATGAAGTGAAGAGAAAACATTCATATATATATTAAGAGTTACGGTAAGTTAGCTTAGATCAATCTTGAGATGGATTTACCTTGATGGATAGCATATTTCTTCCGGTAAACTGCGGGTTAAATCAAATATTAGGTTAGATAATACCATAATTGTAACTTAACAAGACTATATCTCAAGGAACAAGTCGTTTTACCCTTCAGGAATTTCAACCGCTTGCTCTGCGACTGTTGAAGGCTGAAGTTCTTCTTCATCTACATTAATCACTGTATTGTCTGATATCTACAGTTTTTTGGAGAAAATTATCAGCGAGTTAGAAGCACAGCATAGCGAATGTGTAAGAGTAAGGTGATTATATGTTCAATAAACCGTTCAAAAACTGAAGTCTTTTGTAAGGAATTCATAAAATTGTTGGTAGGAATATAACAGAAGTTTTGAAAAAGAATCCATGCTCTTGCTGGATTATAATTCTTGAGGGCTATTATGAATGCGTACAGATATGCTATATATGATAACGGTAGTAAGCAAAAATACCTTACGGCGCCTTGAACTCGGTGCTGGATATTCTTCCCAAGACCACTCCCTATGAGAGAAAGAGGTTGAGAGATTACAATACAACTCATTATCTTCTGTACGAGACGGCAACTCACAACAAAATAGCAGTAATGAGTAATGGTATACTTAAGAACCCCTTAAAAGATAATAAACTAGTAGCAGAAACAGATGGTAAAAGAGAAAGGAAAAGGACCTAGGAGTTTCATGCCCGTTGGCGTCGTCGTTATCATCATCGTCAAGCAGAGAATAAGTGGAAGATTCCTTGGGCTTTCTCTTCCCATAAGATTCCTTCGATTTCTGATTCCCTTTTGACCCTTTAGATCCAGAATAGAACTGTTTTTCACTGTGCTCAGCTTTCCCAATATCTGACAACATCCGCCATCCGCCTTTCGGCCTTGTAACAGTCTTTTTATAATCAGCCTTGCGTTTCCCACTTTCACATCCCAAATCTTCTAGTTCTTTAGCAAATGCTTTCGTTGTGGACTGAGTATCCGTCTGTCGAACACAGATTACAAAGTTGCATTATGAGCTAGCTAGCCATCTAAAACAGTTTTAAAATGGCATATTGTACAAGCTCCATACTTACTTTCGGTTTACTTAAAAAAGCATCACGGAATGTTGACCGTGAGACTTCTTTTGAGACTGCATTCCCTTGTCTAGAGGAGTCTTTTGAGGCTGCGTTCCCTCGCGCAAAGACATCTGAACCTACATGAAACGTGGCTCGTTATACAAAACTCCAGAAACTGGGAGATGAATTATAAAAAAAAAGACACTTAAGTGACTCTAAGCTTTGCTATTGAGAAGCCAATTGCATATAATCAATTCCAAACAGTAACCTTTATAGTTACTTGAACTTAACCAACTTATATGTTGGAAGCAAACAAGCTTCAACATAGTCTATATACACCATTTCATAGAAGTTTTTGAAGGGACAACAAAGATACCTGAGCTTGTCGCATGCATGAGCGTCGAACTTCTTTCCACATCCTGCCAAAAATGAAAGAGTCTATAAACCCAAATTTTAAGAAGATAACATCTCTATCATAAAATTCCTTTGGTCTACATAATTTTAGGGTGTTCTGTGACTAGTTGTTACAATGACAATGGATCATACACATAACTGAGGTCGAATCTAGCTTGGAAGATGAGAGAAATGACACTAAAAGATAAAGAAAAATGCAGTCAACAAAGAGCAAAAAAGCTTTAGCAGAAACTTGAAAAAAACCCCAACATTGTAACAACAACCATCTCCATATCTAAGATCTAGCTTTATCTTCCAAGCAACAAACTCGAAATTCCACTAAAACGAGCTACTTCACTACACATAACTCAAAACTCCAAAGAAAAACCAAACAAACGAAGAAAATTAGTAAGCAAAATTGAATGTGAAATGCAAACCATTTTCGAGCGCCGTAAAGCCCTGCTCCGCTTCTCCTCTTCGAGGCTCGCGATTTTGGAACGGATTTTCTCACCATTGTCTGGTAAGCTTGGACCTAATTTCACAAGGTGCGATTTGTTACGCTCCAGCAGCTCGTCGAGGGCGTGATCGGATAGGGTTTTCTGACTGTTCATTTGATCGGCGGAGAGAAAAGTTGACAGCGGCGGAGGCGGCGGCAGAGTTTTGGCATTAACAATCTCTAACTCCGGCACTTTATCTTCCTTTCCGGTACCGTCGTTTTCGTCGTCTTCCATCACCGATTTCCAGTCAATCTCAAAGTCTTTCTTCTCCACAGAATCAACGTCTTCTTCTTCCTTCTTCCTCGTCGTCATCACCGAATCGTTCGTCTTCTTTCTTTCTCAATTGGCCATTGGTCTTTTTGTTCAGAGTCTTCAGTACTATCAGCTATTTAACTTGTTAAACGTTTTTATAATTAATTAGTTGGTAATTTTTAGCATTTTCTCATTCCAGCTATTATTTGCTTGTATATATGGTGGTAATATTAGGGAAAATAGGTAAGGTAAGAAAAAAAGTTCATTTCCGTTTTAGGGATTTAGAAATGGTAACCAGCAAATTAAAGAAAAAAACCTAAGTTTCTTTTTAGGGTTTTAAAATACTAAACTTAAAATCAAAGGTAAAATACAGTTCACAGTGTTAACAAACCAAGCTTAGAAAATTGAGTAAGATATCCATCCATTTTTTTTGACAAAAAAGAGTAAGATATCCATTTTTGTCGACGTTTCACTGGATTTTTTTTTTTAATTTCTTCTTCTAAGGTTATGATTATTCTGGTATGTGGACCTTTTTAGTAATCTCTTTGTTTTCGATCGTTTTTAGAGCTTTTGTAATGGGATCTAAAACTATGTTTCAATGTGACTAATCTTAATTTTGACAAGGAGTTTTGCTAGATTCTTTACATTTTTTTTTTTTTGATAAAGATTCTTTACATTTTATATAGCGGTTTTATCGATAGATTTAGTTTTCATACACTTGTGTAATTGTATGATTTTGGTTTTTCATATATCTCCCTTTTATAGGGTTTTTTTTCTTTAGAGAAATTTTATGTTCTGACAGCTTTGTATGTTTCAAGATTCTACTAATAAGATAATGATCGCAGAGTTAAAAAGGAAAAAAAAAATCAAATATGATTCAAATTTTTCTTAGAACTTTTCTAGGTTTAACAAGAATCATAAAAAAAATAACTTTTCAAAGAAAGCATTAAAAGACTCTCTACCTGCAATTTCTACTAAGCCAAAGATAAGGTAAAAGAGCAAAGTGACAATACTCAATCCTTCAAGATACAGAAAGTATATATTAACTATTTGGAGAGATAATGCAAAGAGAAATAAGAAAGGATACCAAACTTGTATTCACTAGAAACTCGTTTGGCAGCAACTTACAAGTTCAACCTAAATGGAATTACACAAGCTCAAAGACAATACCTTAACATTACACAAGATCTTGTTACATTCGAAACCACTACAGCAACTGATTTCTCAAAACTCTCATCTATTCTAGAACACCTTGAAACCCGTCAGTATAAAAGCTCTCTCAATGTGTGTATCAACACTTTTTTGTTCGTGTCCATGTCACTTGTCGTTATGTTGACACTCTTGTTGTGCACTCGATGTGGTTCTAGACTAGCTAAGCACATCCACCACATCTACAACATTTTCATAGCTTAGTTTGCCTCTCCAAGTATAATGTGTACTGCACATACAAACACAAAATCCACCAAGCACAAACACAAACCAATTGGAGTCCCCATATATTGAAAACCATCATCAGCCAAAATCACTGATCCAAAGGGTTACAGAATCTTGAGCATTAGTCCAAAAACACTAGAGGAGAAAAAATAATAAACAAAAGTCACTAGAAAACCAAAATGATAAGTGTTTGAAAAATCAGTCTAGATTGTGTTTCTACTCACACTGAATCCTAAACCTATCCAACAAGAATATTCACAAAATGAAAAAGTATCGTGGCATCATATTCAGCTAATATCACTTCCATATTTTATCAGATAACCATCTCTAACACAAATCCATTATTTTTGAATTTTTCATACATTTTTGGGGTGATAGGTGACTAGTAGTTACAATGAATCATACTGTATTGCAGTCAACAAGAGCAAAGATTTAGCAGAAACTTGAATATTAAAACCCAACATTTGCAAATTAAAATTGTTTGGCCGTCTGCTCAAAGTTGTTTGTAGCTGCAATCCCCAAATAAGGACCTCTCTTATTCATCCTCTCTATTTTGCTCAAAATTGTTCGAGATATTTCACCATTTGCCTCTTCAATAACATTTCCAATCGACAAAATAACCACAAGAAAACCAATTAAAAAGTGTCCCTTAAACTATCTCTTACCCTTTCATTTATGCTTCTCGTGACATATGATTAGTTTACCTTAAACTATATACACGAAACTAATCAAATTAGGACAATCTAATACGTCTGCTAACGGTGACCAAAGAAAAACATCGTTGAACAGCGCTGTCAATAAGAAAAAAAAAATTGTTTGTTGAAAGGACAAAAATGAAATAGTCACAATCACAAGCTAAATTCTTCCTTTATTAGTTACAATTTCAATAACGATGGAAACAAAATTACCAGCGAAATCAATGAAGGGCAAAGACGGTTATGGAACATAGGCTTGAGAAGCGAGGAGAGGATATTAAGCTCAAAGTTGTTTGGACTTTGGAGCTACAATGCCAAAATAAGGACCTCTTATTTTGCTCAAATCTGGTAGTCGTAGAGATATTTCACCACTTGCTTCTTAAATAACATTTCCAATCGACAAAATCACCACAAGAAGACCAATCAAAAAGTGTCCCATAACTTCTCCTTCTCTTTCTCTCTCTTAGCCTTTTCTATTCTGCTTCTCGCGAGTCTCATATCTCCCATTCGGTTCCTTTTATTTATTTATGTACATGCAAATGCCATACATTACATACGCACGTTACAAACGTGGATATATATATATATATATATATATATATATATATATGCTAAGCAAGGGGTTTTAGAACATTCATTAATCGCTCGCAGAGCTAAAAGGGAAGGAAACCATCATCCATGGTTTCAACGTGTGAATTAAAAAAGTCCCTCGTGTTTCATGTGTTCGAAAATTATCATCGGACCAGACCATACCGGTATGGTGGTTTGGTGAACCTTTTTCTTAAAACAAGCCAGGGTCCATCACAATTCGCAACGATCAATGTAAAATACAAATTTAGAAATAATATATTATTGTAAATCTGGTTGCTAATATTCAATCGTCAAAGTCAACACTAAACCCTTATTGTCAAAGTCAACACTATATTATGATGATACGTCAAATACAAATCAAACCACAAAATTATACCTTTTAGCTTGTCAAGTTTGTCGAGGAGGGAATTCTGGGTAGCCAAAACGAGAAAGTAGACGTTTTGGTGTTCTAAAGTCAATGTAAACTTCATTTCACGCTTTTGGTACCTCAACCATCAACACATTGAGAGATACTTTAAGCAACCATTCTCTTCTATAAGCTCGCCGTGAGTGGACTTCACATATCCATTGGCTTCTCCGTTTTCCATTCCAACACGGTAAAGGAACACTGCATAGATATTGATTCCTGATACATAGCTCATCGATAAATTCTCTATTAAAGATACATTAAAACACATTGATTATTAGTAAGTTAGTCACTATTATAATAAAATTTGATAGTTATTACTTACTTTGATAGTTTTATAATCCAGAGTGAAAATGGCAAGTCCACCTTTAACAAGATGAAATTGTAACTTCTCTAAGGCATCATCTATGATATATATATATATATATATATATGGTATACCATAGCTTATGGTATATATATGGTATACATAGCTTAACAATAATCCACTATAAACTAAGAAGAATACTTTGTATAATCTGTGTCATCTCCTCAATGTGATTATTAGCTCAGAGATTACAATAGCCCAACATGTATTTATAACAAAAAAATGAAAGAATGTATATCAAAATTACATTGGTCAACAATTGTGCACTTAGTTTTGTAAGGCTATATAATTGTAGGATCATTAGTTTCTTATGAGATCCATCAAACATGTCCAATCAAATCTCTATAAGAATTGTTGAAAAAAAACTTGAAACAAAACCATATATAGTCATAATCAATTATTAACTAATGAAATTATAATTTTACTGACCATTAGTTTGTTATTTTTTTTCAGCTAGCATGTGATGTATTATAGATGTCAAAAATTCTAATCATACCATGAGGTTTTGACTTTATGATTGATGACATGGTTAAACTAATAATCTGTGTGTAAGTCGCCCCATTAATATTTTGAGGTATGGTGAATATAAACTGCAAATATGTACACACTTATCAAAGTTAATTACAAACACATTTTTAACTATATATAATATTTGTATCTGATGTCAAAAAATCCCAACAAAATAAAAATTTTTTCATCATAACTTTGTTGTTGACTCTATCTTTTTGAACTAGAGAATACCTCTTTGTCACATAATTGCTCAATTATGTGACCTTCTTTGCAACAACAAAAAAAAAATGCAAGCAAGAAAATAGAAAACCAAAATGACTATCAATAAATACATTGTTGTATTTATTAAAAACGTGTTCAAGGATATGACTATTCAATATATGTGAATGAAATTATCATAAATAAACAACTAAAAGCAATTATTAAACATAGTGATGGATGTGGGAAGAAAGGTATCATAATATTTCATAATCACCTAGAGATATATTGTTACAAAAGTTCAGTTCTAAAATTATCTAATTTGTGTCTTACCAAAAAAAAAACAAAAACAAATATTGTTTGGTGGTGAATTATATTACACTTTTGTGGTGATACAGATTATATAGTTCCTGCTAAATTGTTTTTGTGGTGATACAAATTATATAATATATTATTAAATTAAAAAATTATTGGCATGTTGTCGGCTGGATTCAGTGAAGACTTTCCGGCCTGGAATCCATGGTTTGAATAGCATTGCTTCTTATTTGTTTGGGTTTTAAAAAGGGAAAGTTCAATAATAATACATCACCTAAATTTTTATCACCAATCTAATACACCAACTGTTTATGTATCCTGAAAAATAAACCAACCAACTTTTTACGTATTCTGAACCAAAAGATAGCCACTGTGCTTCTTGTTTTTAAATAATATGTTTGTTTCATTATCACAAAAAAAAAAAAAAATCACTTTCAAAATTTTCTTCTATGCTTTTATCTCATTAAAATATATATTATATATTGTTTTCTAATTTTTAAATAAAAAAAGGAAAAGTCGTCTTTCTCCTTTTCTAAAACAAAGTAAAGCACCTTCAATGGCTTCAACCACGTGGTCCACGCCGGTCTCGATCTGACCGCCACCACTCACAACGCTTTCCTCTGTTCCACTCTTGTCTCAGTAACTCCGAGCCATCTCGCATTTGCTCCACTCCACCACCTCACCGTCACCACCATTCAAAATTGGAGTATTTAAAATCCCTCCATCTTGAGGAGACATGTTAAAGAAAGAATATCATTATGATTTCTACTATCAATCTCTATGATCACTTCCATAAATCCTTATATTTCTCATATCGTTACTATCATAACATTGTCTCCTTGTAATAATTAATTACTTAGATGATGTCCATCTTGTATATATATATATATATGTCATGTATATTGAAGAACATATGAGACTATGAGAGTCAATACAGCTTCTTCCAATTCTAAATTTCACGTGTCTCATCACATTATAGTGCTAACTGCTTGCTGGCTGGGAGCTGTATGAGCGGTAACGTCCACGTATGGTTCCTTCGAAGAACATTTCACGACGATGTCAGGGAGCTAACTCAAAACTATGGATATGAGATATTAAGTTCACCCACAAGAAGTTATAATTTTACCCAAAATAAAAGTTGAACCCGATATGTAATACCAAAAGCAGTCCTCGAGAAAATATATAAGAAATAATAATAAGAAAATAGTAGTATATCTTTATAAGAATTTATCACAATGATATTTCTATTGTCATCTATGAAACAAATATGACGTGGAGAACAGTTTTTTAAAAGTATTACGTAAGAAGATTAACGGTTTAAATAGTACAATGTAATTATAAATAAACAAATCTATAAAATAATATTTTTTATATCATGGACAAAATATTACGGTAATACTATTACGTAAGAGATTTATTAGTTTTCTATAAAATATTTTATCATTCATCATGGATAAATTAGTTTTTGTATATGTAAGAGATTTAAAACTCAAAAGTATTAAATAATATGCTGTAAAAATAACTATATACATATATATATATTGTCATCAAATATCTAGAATGGTTCGATTATCCAAACTAATGTTACCAAGTTTACATAAATAAAAAAAAAAAAGTTTACATAAATAATATCTTGAAGATAGACATACACTTTTTTTACTAAATTATCCGCCTTCCAATCCTTGGTATATGGGATATACGATATTATGAAGAATTTAAATTTGTCCTTCATATTCCTAATCTCCTCCAAGTATAGAACAAAAGATAATAATTCTCCAGGTGTAAACACCATCTTTACCAACAACAAACAGTTTGTTGCAAAAATTATTTCTATCTTCTGGTTCTCGAGCATACAATGCATTGCCCATATGAGAGCTTCCATTTTTACATATAGAGACATAAGATTTCGTCTTACATTTTGTGCTCCCATTATTTTCTCCATAGCACCTTCTAAAAAATAATACCGCCCTAATTCTGCTAATAAATCTATATCTTTCCAAAAGTCATCAATATAACATCATCAGCCACCATAGGCCATAGGTATTGACGAGTTCAGAAAATTGCAAAGAACTATAGGGGTTAAATCTATGGTATTGACGAGTTCAGAAAATTGCAAAGAGCTATAGGGGTTAAATCCTATTCAGATCTATGAACCTTCTTCCATAATGACGCTTTTATTTCTGCTATTTTTAATGTAAACTATGGATTTATATTCTTATTGTAAATAATTATATATCATGAATATAAAATAAATCTCTTCTAAAAAAAGGAATAGAAAAGATAATATGTTTGTGAAAGATTTAGGTAAGATATGGTATGTATAATAAATCTGTAAGAATATTTTATAAATTAATGACATTTGAAATATGAAATAATTACACAACAATTGTTATTTTTTTCATATGTTAAAGTAGGCTTCTTTAGGTAACAAAAAGTAATGTTTAAGTTTTTTTCCGGGTCAGCTAATAGTGGTTTTGTTGTAAGATGAAAATCGATTAATAGTGTGTAGAAATATAAAGGTATTAATTAATTTGCCCCATTTTTTCGCTTTTTTAAATCTCCGAAACGTTCAATTTATACTGAAGGATCTTAAACGTTTTTTTTTTACCAAAACAAGCCAAATATTTTGTTACTTATCAAATTGCCTCAGCTCTTTCCGTAATGACCAAAATACTCCAACTCTTTTGGTATTTAGCGAAATGCCCAAAGTCTTTTACTATTTACCGAATGCCCAACAATTTTAGCACTTACCGAATTCCCCAAATCTATACTCCAACTCTTTTGGTATTTAGCGAAATGCCCAAAGTCTTTTACTATTTACCGAATGCCCAACACTTTTAGCATTTACCGAATTCCCCAAATCTTTATAATATTTACCAAAATACTCCCCCACACTTTATGTATTTACTGAAATGCCCCATAACTTTATTTATTTACTGAAAGCCACTTATCTCTAGGTATTTAACAAAACACCCAATACTTTAAGTATTTACCGAAATACACCATAACTTTGACACAGATAAAATACAAATTTGATTTTAGGGCAAAAATCCAGATTCGGTGAAGACATTACCAAAACTTTTACCCAACTAGAGAGACTCCCAAGTCCCATGGCCGATAATTCTTCTTCTCCGGCCACGGGTGATCCCAATTCGCAGAAACCAGAGCCCACCACTACTCCGATCCCCAATCCCAATCCAAATCCAAATCTAAACCCTTCACCAATCCCACCGCCTCAACAACATTCGCAGCCGCAAGTCGCAACTCCCGAGCCAACCCAAACGCCGGTCTTTCAACCCGGTCCGCCTTACGCGCCGTCTCCGATTCCGGGCTCACTTGTATCCAATCTTCCGCCGCCGCCACCTTTCCGTCCCGGTATGCAGTTCACTCCGCCTGCGAATTTTCAAAACCCTAACTCTGGAGTTCCTCCTCCCGGCGTGAACTCCGGTGGTGTTATGGCGGCTCCAGGATCCATGCCGTATCAGCCTCAGCCTGGGCAGCTTCCGAATCCGGCTGGTATGAGAGCTTATTCGCCTATGGCTAATGGTTATCCCGGAATTCATGGCGTTGCTCCTCCAGGCTCCATTCCTCCTCCGGGTGGGTTCTTCTATCTTTCTTTAGCATTATCTGTTGCTTGATTTTCTAAAAGTTTTTGCTTTTGTTTTTTCTTCTCTTACTCGCTTTTAATGCACTTTAGGCTGTGTAAAATTTTGTTTCCATGGTATTTGCTGTTCTGTGTATGTTGAATGTGATTTCATAAAAGTAGTGAAAGTGGAAATATTTGTCAATGTACTTAGATGAGATTGAAAGGTTTAGGTAGAAAGAAGTTTTATTGAAAAGAGGAATTTAGGGAGAAAAAAACTAGAACAGGGACACCGATGACCGGGTGTTTTCTCATACAGCGTCTTTGATTGAGTTCCGTGAGAAAGGTTGCGAGGCATCAAATATTGGGTAGGGACTCACTTCTACGACTCCCTCATTTTTGGTATGCGCAAATTCGCTTCTTTTCCTTCATTAATTTTGTGTAGTTAGTCTAACTTCTATGAAGATAAACATTCATAACACATTTAACCAAACCACTGACCGTAAGGTTCTTGAAAAATTTACCTCATGTTCATCAATCTTCTCCAGTTTAATGTTAAATTGAGATTTACTGTTAGTTTTCTTAAGAACTTTGAACTTGATGGATTAGCCAACTGCCGGCACAGCAAGCATTTGTAGCCACTGAATGCTCCTTGGTCTTGGTTTTGAGGTATTACAATTTCTTATAAGTTACACCTTCCGTTACGTCTTCCACATGTTGTTCTTTCTTTTTCCTTCCTGTGGTCAAGCTGCTAATGGTTGAATGGGAATAATAGTTCTTAATAAGTTCCATGTGGGCATGAGATGATGGGAGTTTCAATATTATTATCCAATCTCAAGTCCAACGTTTGCCAGATGGTTATAGATTCTTATCGCTTTTAAGTTTCAGTGTGAGGTACGACTACTTAATGTGGTAATCATGACTACGATCCTGGTGCTATCTTCTTAATGTGTCCTTCAGGTTCTCTGATCAGCCGGGTGGTATTTGTACTGCCCCTGGTGTGCATATCTAATTTGCTCTAGTTTGTGGTAACAATACAAAATGAATCTTCAATTCCTCTTCATGATGCTCTTTATTTATGCCATCCCAGTTGATCTATTAAGATATAAAACATATACTGATGAATTTGCATAGAATTGTTTTCTTTTGTTTATGCAGGGATTCTCCGGTATCCTTCTCCCTATCCAACAATGGTTCGTCCTGGTTTTATTATGCGCCCGCCTGGTACAATTGGTACTGTGCAACTAGTACCACGTCCCCCTGTCCCTGGAATGCCTGGACTTCGCCCCGTAATGCCTCCTATGATTAGACCAGCTTCTGTGCCTCTCGTACCACCAACAGAGAAACCCCAGACGACAATTTACATTGGCAAGATAGCAACCGTGGAAAATGACTTTATGATGTCTATTCTTGAGGTTTGATTTCTTCTTTCAATCTGCATTTGTTTTGCGTTCTGCTACTTTTAAGGCTGTTTATGTTGACATATAGGCACTAGTTTTCATTTTTTAAATTTACTTTTCTACGAATTGATCTTATTGCCATTCTTTTGCAGTTTTGTGGCCATGTCAAAAATTGTTTACGTGCAGAAGATCCCACCACCAAGAAACCTAAAGGATTTGGATTCTATGAATTTGAATCAGCTGAAGGGATTCTCCGTGCAATACGCCTGCTTACCAAACTTACAATAGATGGACAAGAGCTTTTGGTAATCATGGATCTATCTCTCTACTCAATTTCTATATATGTTGTTGTTTCTCCAAGCGAATGCAGTTCTGCTTCTATGGCGTCTCTTTACGTTATTCTCATTTCTTTATATGGTTGGTAGGTGAATGTTAATCAAGCAACAAAGGAGTATTTGCTAAAATATGTTGAGAAGAAAATGGAGGATGCAAAGAAAGCCAAGGAAAGTCAAGCTGTAGGAACCGAAGATAACCAAGCTGAAGGCCCTGAGAGTGATCGAGAAAAAACTGAGAATTCTGCTAAGCCCACCATAGGGGAGACTGGGAAGGATGGAGAACCAAAGAGTAAAGAAAACATTGATATTGCGAATTCTGCTGTCCTAACTGATGAAGAAAGAGAAGCCGACAAAGAGGCTATGGAGAAGATTGAAAGTGCCATTGAAGAAAGGTTAAAGACCAACCCTCTGCCTCCACCACCCCCACCACCACCTGTTGATGGTTCAGGCATAGAACTTGCTTTCAAATCTAAGGATGGAGACTCAAACACTGACATAGCCCGGAGTGGTTTGTTTCTTTTCCTAGACTTATTATGAATTTTAATTCGGCTGCCATTTTCTCCTTTACTTGTATCATTTCTCTGATTTAATTGTCTTGTTCATGTAGATTCCGCTGCAAATGATGCTGAGACGCCTGGAGAACACAATAGGCCTGACACAAGTTCACCTGATTGGAGTAAGAGAAACGACCGAAGAAGCAGAGACAGAGGTGAAAAGGAGCAAGAAATGGATAGATATGAGAGGGAGGCTGAACGAGAACGATTAAGGAAAGAGAGAGAGCACAGGAGGAAACTTGAGGATGCAGAGCGTGCTTACCAGACTCGTCTTCGACAATGGGAACGCAAAGAAAGAGAAAAGGAGAAGGAACGACAGTACGAGAAAGAGAAGGAGAAAGATAAAGAGCGTAAGAGGAAAAAAGAAATCCGCTACGAGGAAGAGGAGGATGAAGACGATGATGATTCAAGACGAAGATGGCGTAGGGCTGCGTTAGATGAGAGAAGAAGACGACGGCTTAGAGAGAAGGAGGATGACTTAGCTGATAGATTGAAAGAAGAGGAAGAGGTTGCTGAGGCGAAGAGGAATGCCGAGGAGCAAAAGTTGCAGCAACAACAATTAGATGCCTTAAGGCTCCTATCTGGACAGGCAACTATTGGAAGTCAACCGGCTCAGACATCACCCATTGAAGACGATCATAAAGCAACTCTCGAACCTTTATCTATCCATGAGCACCATACAGCAGGTAAGAAGTTTATTTCTTCTCTAATTTATCCTCATTATCGTATTTCTTCTTCTTCTCTGTCTCTCTTTCCATTTTTGATGGCTTCCGTTGCCAATTGCAGATATTGATCAAAATGGTTCTGGTAATGACATGTCCATGGCTATTGATAATAATAGTGGTTCAGAGGCATCTGCTCCCTCCAAGAAATTGGGATTTGGGCTTGTGGGATCCGGAAAGCGAACATCTGTGCCTTCTGTCTTCTATGAGGAGGATGAAGACGAAGCACATAAGGATAAGAAGATGAAACCTTTGACTCCTATAGATTACTCAACCGAGGAACAGGAGGCTGTGGCCCATGGTGGCTCAGGGAATACACCACCTCATTTGGCCCTAGCCGCTGAATTTGCAAAAAGAATTTCGAGTACTAATCCCAAAGAAGAGACAACGGAAAACGAAAAACATAGGAGCAGACGTTCTCATGATAAGACAACCCACAGGGAAAGGGAAAGGGAAAGGGACAGGGACAGGGAAAGGGACAGAGACAGAGTCAGGGACCGAGGTGACGTGCATAGTGGTCAAACGAAAGACGGTAAAGAGCCTGTAAAAGCAAAGACACCTGATACCAAGAAGCTTATGGATGCGAAACAATTGATAGATACAATCCCAAAGACAAAGGAAGAGTTGTTTTCTTACGAGATAAACTGGGCTATGTATGACAAGGTAAGCTTCTCCAAAATCTCATATCTCATTCCACTTGTTTTCTAAATGAATGATACCTTAGATAATTTCGTGTTGCCTTGCCTGTGAGTTTGTTTTGTTGCTCACATGTTTCGCCTTGTCTTTAATATTGAAAAGCACCATTTGCACGAAAGAATGAGGCCATGGATCTCAAAGAAAATCATGGAGTTTCTTGGAGAAGAGGAAGCCACGCTGGTAGATTTCATTGTGTCAAACACTCAACAGCATGTGAAAGCGTCTCAGATGCTTGAGCTATTGCAATCGATTCTAGACGAAGAAGCTGAGATGTTTGTGCTGAAGATGTGGAGAATGCTCATCTTTGAGATCAAACGGGTCGAAGCTGGAGTGCCGGTAAAATCCAAAGCCTGAAACTTTATTTACAAATGATTTTTCGTTCTTGTTGCTTTAGTGTCTCAATTTTTTTCGAAGTCTTATTGTCTTTGGATTTAAAGAAGAATCACCATGTTTACAAGCTTAATGCAGAAGAAGAGATTGAAATATATATACACACATTCTAGTTCACACATTCTAGTTCACAGAATAAATATTTGCTCCACTTGAGTTTAAACTTAGTTCTTCCGTTTAGTTTAGTTTTAGCAAATGAGTTTTATGTTTTATGATACGGAATTGTTTTTATTTGGAAAAGCATTTTACATCAAAAAGATTTATGAATATAGGAGAAGTTTTGATCTGTGGATTAGTCCTTTTACTTTTGCTAAGTACAATGGTTCTTCTTTCTAATGGATTAAGATGAAGTTAATGCCATTAGTTTATATGTTGAGTGAAAATGGAGTACAAAAAAGGATTTAATGTCTTTCATTTATTTCCAGATATAAATACAGGATACATTGATATTGCACACAGCTTCTCTCTAAAACCAGAAACTGATCACAATACTATTAGCTCTTTGGGTTCTTTAAAAATCCCCGAGCTAGTATTTAACAAAGATAAGTATATTATATACATAAAAATAGAATATTTATCTTTAACCTATATAAAAATGAAGTTAATTTTGGTAAATAAACCCTTTGATAAAAATAAGCTCAAAGGGTTTATAGTGTGTGCCAACCATATCACCAGGCGTGGACAAACCGATCTCTTTCAAAAGCCGGTTCGACCATACCGGTTTTCCTTTCCTGGAACTCATGAATCATTTTGATTAGAGCACTTGCCTTTCTCCCAACTCCACACTCGCCGTTACTTAACACCGTGTAAAGCGACCCCATTATCGACGGATCCTTAGCGAGTGACCCAACGACGTCAATTCCACCGTTAACACACAGATTCAAAAGCAGAACAACACAGTGCTGCTTCGTCGCCGGCGAAAACTCAGACGAACCCAGAACCTTAACCGCGAGTTTCAATCCTCCACGGCGTAGCACAGAGATCATCCCGTCGGGATACTCCGCCATTTTCGCGAGAATCGCAATCGAATCCGCCGTGACTCCGTCGCCGATCTCGCCGGATTTCACGAGACCGAGAAGAACAGGAACCGCTCCAGCAGCGAGAACACGCCAGTGATTATCTGATTGTTGAATCAGCAAACTCCGAATCGCGATCAACGCGTTGCGTTTGGCCGAATCTCCGTAATCACAACCTTTAACGATCCTCAACAATCCCGGAATCGCATCTGGGATTTCTCCGATCAATCTACTATAATCTCCGAGAGATGATAGATAGAATATCGAAGCTGCTGCGTATTGTCTACTCTCTCTTCTGATTCCTTCGTTGAGAACCTCCACAATGATCTCCAATCCACCACCGTCTCCGGCGATTCGAGTTTTTCCGGCGACATCCTTGCTCAGATTCAAAACCCCAGCCATGGCGGTCTCTTGAATCGTCGGATCTCCAGAAAGAAGAATCTTCATAAGCGATTCCACAACTCCAGCTTCCACCAAACAAGATCTGTTGAAACTACTCGTCTTGGTGAGAAGACGAATCTCAACTAATGCTTTAACCATCTCCTTTACGCCTCCGATGATCAATTCTCCGGCGAGAAATTCCGCCGTGAGTTTCCTTGCTTCTTCCGCCGCTAAACTCTCCGGCGAAATCGACTTGTTCTTCTTCCTCTTCTGATCAGTCTCCGTCGTCAAAACCACGCTGTTTTGCTTGCAGTAGCTTTGAATCACTTGCTTGACAGACACGTTATCCACTAAACCGGTACTAACCAGAATTTTCCCGGTTTTAGGGCACGTTACGTTACCGGAGGAAAACCACTTTTTGATTGAGCTCCGATCATACGTGTGTCCTGTTTCTAAAACCACAGGATCATTCATAATCTCAAGAGAAATCGGACAACGAAGATCATCAACGTTTAAGCCTCCAATAATCAAATCGTCTTCTTCTTCTTCTTCTTCTTTCTCATCTTCTTCATCAATGCCTCGAAGTATCACGCATCTACAGTAGCATATGAATCCCATTAAGCTGCTAAGAAGCTCGATTTCATTCTTCTCGGCGCCGGAGATCTCTTCTCCTATAAAACCAATCTCTTTGACGCAATCGCTCCATTTTCGGACACCAATGTGATCAAGAACTCGGAGTATTTGATCCGGGTTCGGGTTAATCCTGTTCTCGAACAGATTAAAGATCCAATAAACCGAGTCTATAGCCCGTTTGTCTTCCGGGTCGGGTCTTGCTTCGGATTTACGGGTCTGACGGATTATTAGATAGATTAGCTCGTTGACTTCTTCGGATAAGTCTATGGATGGAAAAGTGTCGAGGCAAGTGGAAATGGATCGGGTCAAGACCCGGAAATGAGCTGAGACTTTATCGGAGTTAATCAACATATATAGCTTAGCTCCATCTCGTGTACAGTCTTCTACAAGGAACTTGAGTTTCTGGAAGATGACGTGGAGCTCCGAGAGGCTAAGGACTGCTGCCCGAGAGAATATTGACCCGACCTGGATTTGAATCCGGATTTCGTCGAAGATGATTACGAGGTTTTGAATATGTCGGAGAGTTTCTTTGACGCTTTGTTTGTTGGTGGAGGAGTGTTTTGGTTTGAAGGTGAGAATCTCGCCGGCGATTTGTAACAGCGAGTCGACAAGAGTGGTAATGGAGATCGATTCGCTCGGATTTACCGCCGGAAAATACAGAATCCGGCGTCTTGACCCGGTTTGTGTATGGACCATAGTGTAGTGATGAAGATAAGGATATTTTTCAAGTGTTTTTGAGGTTTGTGTCTTATGTTTGTGTTTGTGAGGATATATACACTTCGTGTGGCTTTTTCACTTTTCAACTGTCTATAGATTTGCGACACGTGAAGAGGTATGATTCGCTGGTAAACTTTGGGGTCTGTTAATATGCCACGTGGTATAGCGTGGCAATGAAGTGTGTGTGGGACCTATTTGCTATGACTCATGAAGATGCGTGCATGGAGGTAGCCGACAATTTTGTATGACGACGCTTCTGATAGTTTTCCTAGTTCATTTATTTATTCGTTTTTTATTTGTTTAGTTTAGATAAACAACGAAGTTCGATTGAGTGATTGGATCAAATGATATGAACTTGAGTTATTATTTTTTTTTAAGGAGACTTCGAGGATGTGTTATTCGATGAATAATTGTTAAGGTTTTTTATTGGTTGCAAATGAAATGGACGGACGAAAGTAATAGATGATTGAAACGATCATGGTTATTAGTTTATGTATTTTAATGAATTTAAAAATTCAAAATAAATCTAGTGTTATTGGTTATATAATTTTTAAATTTAGTGTTATTAGTTCAATAAATTCACGTGTTATTCAATCTTACGAATTTACTTATGGATTTGATATTTTAAAAAAAATTAATAGATTTGAATGAATTTTCATGTTAAAAATATAAAAACTTCTAGATTTGCTCGGATTTACAATAACAAAATTATTACTAAATCTTATATGAATTTCTAAATTGATTAAAATACATAAACGAATAACACCCACAGAATTGTTAAAATGGATGATTTAAAAATAAAACAAAATGATTACAATTAGCTTGAATAATAGAATATTTAAAGATATTAAAACGGATGATTTAAACATGGCCAGACCGATTGTGTTAAACCTATTTTAATCGAAATGAAACTAGTTAAATTATGCTGGATCATTTTTGGTAATGTGGAGCGGAGACTAGTATATGTTCCTTTTTAGAAAGCACTTCGAAGAAGGATATTTTCAGGTCTTAATCTAAATTGATTATGACTCGACACTATGCTATAGTGTTGTCTTTTCTTATTAATTTTTGTCAGATAGCGTTTCAAGAAAACAGTGGACGGTGCAAGTTTTCTAATAGAAAAATCTAGAGGACCCATCTTGATATTTTTTTTATCATCATAGGGAACCTTCATTTGAATCATTATCATCAGAAGTACAAAATAAAATTGAATACCAAAAAACATAAATAGAATTGGAAACCAAAAAACACAAACCAAAACTGAACATGTACCAAACCAATCCATTTTAAATTGAGATTCTTCCAAAATTGAACACGTACCAAACCAATCCATTTCAAATTGAGATTCTTCCAAAACCGTAAAACCTAAACTTCAACTCCAAACCAAACCAAGATCGAACAACATTATATTTAGAAACTTAAACTTTTCATAAAAGGGTCAAAGGTCGTTTGATGTCTGGTGATACCATTAAAATGATTCGGAAGAGAATCCTTGAACACATAAAAGAGAAATAGAAAGCAGTTAAAACACCACTTTTCTGTATTGCCTGTGTCTCCATTCATTTACACCATCATCTTTCAACACTTTGAAAAGTTGTCTCTCTCGTAAATTATATCTTCTTTAGCTTAGAGAAGGTTCCTGACTCTGAGAAGTAAGTGCTTTGAGTCCCACTGCCTAGTCCTAGGGCCTGAGGATTGCACAGCTCTATTCCCTGCAAAACAGATACCAATCAGAGTTTCTATAGTCAGAGAGCGACGAAAACGAATCGAAAAAGATGAGAAACTTTTCACAAGAATCGAATGAAATGTTTGTACCTGCACAGGAGTAAAAGCCAGACTCGATGTTAACCCTGAGGTAGTAGCACCACCTGAATACTGTCTTTCTTTGAGCCTGAAAAGCCATTAATGAACACAATGAGGAGTCAGGACGCAGAGGAGATATGATAGAACGGGAAAGGATCATCAGAAATTAATCTACAGAGTACGAAAATGAAAAACATAAAAGTCGAAAACACTTACTTTTTCGCGACCTTAGCATTGAGTTTCAGCTTGCTCGGAACACTGGATACACGGAGCCTGTTGCTCCCAGCCTGGCCAAGCATACCATATCCTTCACCTAATCCATCACCTATCATAATGAAGAGCAATTATTAGATTCAGTGCCTTAAAAAAAAAAAGTAGCCATTAAACAAGTGCGAGGTACAAGATCATTTTTTTACCAAGAGAACTCTCTTCAGGTGTACCAAACGCCATCCTGTTGGCAAGCTTCCTCATGTCTGTCACTGCATACCTGTGATTTAAAGAGAAAGGTAAGAACGCAGCAAAATAATATAATTTCTATCTATACAATCATGAAGGCCAGAAAGTAGGATGAAAAAAAGGTTACCTTTCTTTCATTTTTCTTAGACGCCGACCACCTCTTCTTTTCTTAGGCTCAGAATCAGGAACAGGAAGTGGCTTAGGCTGCCTTGCAGGAGGAGGTTCTTGCCACCTCTCAATCTTCTTACCGATCAACTCCCTGAAAGCTTTTCCTTCTGTTCCCAATGGATCTCCTCTAGCAGAATCAACTCTTGCTGCCAAAGCAGATTTTGCAGCCAAGAGCCTACTAGCGCGCATCCGAAGTCCAGGAGGCGTGCTTTGGAAAATCTCTGTCTGCTCCAGATAACCCACACGGGTCTGTGACGTTGCACTAGAGAACCCAGCAAGGTTCTTCCTCTTGTGCCCAAGAAGTTGAATATTACAGGCAGGCATCTTAGCAAGTGCTGACAGACCTCCAGCAGTTCCCATAAGCTTGGCTGCAACAGCACTCCCAACAATGGCGGAAAGATTTGGTGCGATAGATCCCATCTTACTTTCAACAAAGTCAAGAACCTTCTTCCGGGCGGAATCAAGATCTAGAGCTCTATCACATGCGTCCATCGTCTTTTGAAGGATATCTTCTGGCAGTGGGTTCCCTTTGGTCGTTGAAGCAGTAACTGAAACAGTCATGATAATAGCAGATGGAAGAAGGCCTTTCAGATCAACAAGGGTTAAGTCCGTCTCATTGCCAATTTTTTTAACAACACGGGCATAATCAATTGGGTGATGTACCAGCGATTCAAGCTCTTGAAACTTGAGTCTGTACTTGTCGCGGATAAAGTTGTGGACGATGGCAATCTCGTTCTCAATGTCAACTGAGAGCTGATTGCAATCCACGATCAGCTTGTATTCAGGATCATCTTCTAGTACTGTTCCTTTCTCCGCTTCATCAGAATCCTTCCCGAGAGCCTCTTCCACTTTCTGAAACGCAAAAATGGAATAATCAGATCAAACTACGACAATCAAAGAATCCAAGTAACAGTAGACAAAGAAGTATTTTAAGTGACAAAGAACTCAACAGTTAAAGCTTTGAAACTATGCTAATGTCTGTTGAGTCGTACAAATTTGAGGCTAAGATAGAATAACTATATGAATAACATAGAAAGCCAAGTAAACTTTTCAGTACAAATAATTTGATTATAAACGACAAGCTAGAAAAATGGGGGCACATTTACTGACCTGCATTATATCGATATATCTCTGAGATTTCTGCAGCTTAGAAACGCTATCGAGATCATCATAGTTAAGGGTTTCTAAGTCTGCCATGTCCATGTCAATATCTTCTTCCTCCTCTCCAACATCACCATCATTCTCATCCTGAGTATAATTCAACAAACTACAGTTAAACCATAACTCCTCCAACTAAATACTATGAACAAAGTAGTATCAAATAAATACAGAACAGATAGTAATCAATTTTTAAGGTACACTCACCATTTCTGCTTCATTGTCGGATAACTCATCAAGGTCTGCGAGGAAAGAATCTTCAAGAGTTGCCTGCAACAGATCCAAATGATTTAGTTAGCAAGTCCAAGCTTAACAAAAAAAAAGGAGAAGCATGTTCATAGCATACAAGAAGCCATTGCAAAGCATTACTAATGTATTAGAAACAAACACAAACGCACAGAGAGGGCTAAATCAAAGAGAAAGAAGAATGCAATATCTAACAACTCGGAAACCCTTAAACTGAAATTGAACATTCAGCAGGATAAGGAAGCGAGAGTATATGATTCGTGAAGAATAAAGCAGAGGATGCAATCGCTAAAACTGAAGGGAAAGATAAATGAAGAGAGGAAGGTTAATGAAACGCTTACCATATCTTCTACTTCGGACGCAGAACCTCAGTGATCCCCTCCTGCGGATTAAGCAAAAAAAGTAAAATCCTGATATCAGAAACCCTAATTTCGAGAAGCTCGAAATAGCGATTAAATCCAAGTGAAGGGGAAATCAAACGCACCTGATTCGAGAAGAAATTGAAGAACGAGAAGCGACTGGTTATTTTTTTTTCCCTTTCAAATCGATGAATGTTTGGAAAAGAAAACCTCAGTGCTAGAGATATTTGATTCTTCTTAACTGAGAGATTCAAAGTCGGTAATTATCATAATTGGGCCAATTTTAGTTGGGCCTTTCTTACTTTACTACCATTTTTATTGAACTGAGAGAATACAATAAAGACCAACACTTTTGTTATCATATTGTAGACTCCAATACACTTAATACCATATCATATTCGATTAAGATGCAGAAAACGATGATGTTTTGTGATGGAGTTGCGGAAGCGTAAAAGACAAATAAGCTTCGTTCTCTTAGAGAGGAGTCGAAACAGACTTATTTGTTGAGCTTAGATGATCGATAATCTTCTAGGTTTAAGGGGTTGAGAGTACTCCTCTCAGTGCTGTGAAGACACAAGCTCTTTTGGGAAGTTAAGACTTCCTCTTTTTGGTTTTTTTTATTGATTTTCTCAAAAGCAAAACATGACTCTTAAAACACAGACTCGAGGTTCTTATATAGTCCTCTAACACAAGCCTAAAGGAAACAGGGACATTTAAGAAAAGGAAAAGTTCAAAGCAAAAGCCAAACTAGAAAAAGAAAGAACGTAAACACCGACTCTATGACTCCTAACGTGATAAGGATGCGCTGCATCAGGTCCCCCCGGGTAGGAGGAGATTCGCCCTCGAATCTGGAACGTCGTTCTCACCGTGATAAGGAAAGATGTGCTTAACATTGAACACATTTGCCGTTCGAATCTCAGGAGGCAAACGTATGCGGTAAGCATTAGCATTAATACGTTCAATGATTTCAACCGGTCCTATCTTCCTGGAATGGAGCTTATTATATTCTGCAGCAGGCATACGCTCCTTTGTGATTGTTACCCATACAAGGTCTCCGACATTAAACTCTACCTCACGACGATGTTTATCCACTTGGGCCTTGTAAGTTGCTGCCGATGTCTTTAGGTTGTCATGAGCTGTTTGATGAATAGCTTGTACGTTGTCCACGAAATCAGAAGCTTGCCCATGAATTCGAGTTTTATCTGGTAAAGGTGCCAAATCAAGTGGACAACGCGGCGTCACACCATAGACGACCTGAAAAGGACAAAGACCAAGGCTACGATTGAAAGCATGATTATGTGCGAATTCGGCAATGCAAAGCTTCGAGTCCCACGACTTCAGATTTTCATCAACAAGACTTCGCAGCATATTGCCTAACGTGCGATTAGTGACCTCGGTTTGTCCATCCGTCTGAGGATGATATGCCGTACTCATATCCAAGCTTGTACCAAGAATTTTCCAAACAGATCGCCAAAAATGACTGAGGAATCGAGTATCTCTATCCGAAACAATGGAAGTTGGCAGTCCATGAAGACGGTAAACCTCTTGAAAGAATAACGATGCAACACGAACAGCGTCTGTGGTTCGCTTACAAGGGATGAAATGAGCCATTTTTGAGAAGCGATCAACCACAACAAAGATTGAATCATTACCCTTTTGAGTACGCGGAAGCCCTAAAACAAAGTCCATACTAATGTCCGTCCAAGGTTGTGTTGGAACTGGTAAAGGTAAGTAAAGACCAGCATTAGAGGCGCCACCTTTTGCTGCTTGACAACGACGACAACGTTGCACAAAACGCTCAACATCACGACGTAAAGAAGGCCAAAAGTAAGAATTAGAAACCAGTTGTAACGTACGATCTCGTCCAACATGGCCCTCGTCATGTAACTCTTTGATGATGCGGAGCCTTAGACTACAATCTGGAATGCATAATTGATTACCCTTAAAAAGGAAACCGTCTTGAAGAATGAAATCAGTTGACGTGCCATTAGACATTTCCCCCAAAATACGAGCAAAAAAAGGATCTGAACAATAAAGGTCCGAAAATGATGCAAATCCTGTAACAGAAGTATGCATTGTGGTGACCAGATGGTGGCGTCGGCTCAAAGCATCTGCAACGCGGTTAAGCTTGCCGGACTGATGACGAATAGTGAACGTAAACTGTTGTAAAAATGCAATCCAAGTAGCATGCCTAGCGGAGACTTTAGCTTGGCTGTCTAAGTGTTTCAAAGCATCATGATCGGTAAACAACACGAATTCGCGATGAAAAAGATAATGACGCCAATGCTTGATGGCTTGAACAACCGCATAGAACTCAATATCATAAGTACTATAACGACTTCGTGCTCCAGCAAGTTTTTCGCTATAATAAGCAACTGGCCTACCCTCTTGACTGAGAACCGCACCAATCCCAAGTTTGGAAGCATCACAATGTAATTCAAATGCCTTTGTAAAATCAGGGAGGACAAGAATTGGGGCAGAGGTAAGCCGGGTTTTAATGTCCACAAAGGCTTTAGCAGCATCGACGGTCCACACGAACTTCCCGTCTTTCATACAGTCTGTAATTGGAGCCATGATGCTACTAAAATGAGGCACAAAACGCCGGTAAAAAGATGCAAGACCATGAAAACTACGAACTTCCGTTAATGAACGCGGTTCAGGCCATGACTGTACTGCTTCAATCTTGCTTTTATCAACGGAGAGACCATCTTTCGAGACCACATAGCCTAGGAATAAGACATGATCAGTTCCAAAAGCACACTTATGCCGAGCCACAAAAAACTTATCACGTCGCAAAATATCAAGCACTTGTCGTAGATGTTCAAGGTGGAGTTCCAACGAAGTACTAAAGATGAGAATATCGTCGAAATATACCACCACAAACTTTCCAATGTAAGGACGCAGAGCCTGATTCATGATTCGCATAAACGTACTAGGAGCGTTAGATAATCCAAACGGCATTACAAGCCACTCAAATAATCCTTCTCTCGTTTTGAACGCAGTTTTCCACTCATCCCCTGGCTTAATCCGAATCTGGTGATAGCCACTTTTAAGATCAAGCTTGGAGAAGACCGTCGCTGTTCCAATTTGATCCAATAAATCATCAAGACGTGGTATAGGAAAACGTACCGCACCGTGATTTTGTTGATAGCGCGACTATCGACGCACATTCGCCATGTTCCGTCTTTCTTAGGAATTAGAAGAGCTGGAACAGCACATGGGCTGAGACTTTCCCGGATATGTCCTTTTGCAATAAGGTCTTCAACCTGACGACGAAGTTCCTCATGCTCTTGAGGATTCATACGGTAGTGAGGACGATTAGGCAACGAAGCACCAGGCACTAGATCAATTTGATGTTGGATATCTCGAAGAGATGGTAAACCCAACGGTAGATCTGTTGGAAAGACATCATCATATTCTGACAGCAACTTTGTAAAACCTAGAGGCTCAGACAAGGGTTTAGGTGCGTCAGTATTAACAGGGATGATAGCGAACAGAAAACCAGTTTCTCGGAGTTCTGTCTCAAACTGATTCCTCGAACACAAGAGTGCTGGATGGGTATTACGATCTTGTGAAGCAGTGATGGGAACCACAGCTTCTGGTTTTGGGAAAGGCAGAGACGTGGGTTCCGGAGCTGGTAAGAGGATGATCTTACGGTTTTCAAACACAAAGCTGTATGTATTTTTCTTGCCATTATGACAAACGTCCCGATCATACTGCCAAGGGCGTCCCAAAATGAGGTGGCTGACATCCATGGGGGCCACATCACAGAAGATAGTATCTTTGTAGAAATTACCGATGGAGAACGGAACTAACGCACGATGAGTAATCTTAACTTCTGTCCCTTCTTTGATCCACACAAGTGTGTATGGCGCTGGATGATTGTCTTTTTTTATGCCTAGTTTTTTAATAGCAGATTCCACAATAACGTTACGGCAACTCCCAGAATCAATGACAAAATTGCAGATTTTGCCTTTAATAGTGCAGGTGGAACGAAAAATATTAGTGCGCAGCCATGGTTCCTCGTACCCCACTGGAACCAAACAAATCCGACGCATCATCAAGGCTGGAGCATTGGTATCACCACAGGTTGGAATGGCCTCGAGTACGGAATCGTCTCCGTCCCCGTCTGAATTATTACCATGTTCCACATCTTCAAGATATAAACCCCGACGTTGCTGATTTGGGCATGTCGTTTGGCGATGTCCCGGCTCACCACATGCATAACATTTAAGGGCTGCAGGTCTTGTTGAACGCCGTAACGTTGTTTCCTCTGTATTAGAAGCTGCGTGATTGATTGCTGGTGCCTTAAGAGCTGAATCAGTTTGACGGTTACTTCCTGATCTGTGATATTGGTTTTGTTCTTCCATGTGTTTGGTGTATTTGAGTAGGTCGAGAATTTGTTCTGCGACTCGAAAGCAGTAGCGCGTCGGTGAGCTTCAGCTAAAGTTGTTGGATCAAACTGGGCTAACGAGTTTTGCAATTGAGGACGTAAACCTCCGATGAAACGTGATACTAACTGCATTGGGCTGTCGTTGAGCTCATTCCTGGTCAAGAGCAAATAAAACTCTTCTGCATAATCATCCACAGTTCGTGAGCCTTGGCGTAGATTTTGTAATCTGGTGAACATTGTGCGATCATGATTCAAAGGCAAGAATTGACCACGCAAGTGTTTTTTTAGTTTATCCCAAGTTGCGATTTTAGATTTGCCTGCGCGAGCTCGTGTGGATTTAAGTTGCAACCACCATGAAGCGGCTCGACCTCGAAACCTCGTTGCGACAAGCGGCACTTGACGGTCTGGTGGCACTTGTTTAAACTCAAGAACTTCTTCAACGGCGATTATCCAATCCAAAAGATCTTCTCCACGAACACTTCCTTGAAATTCTGGAATATCAACTTTCAAACCGGATTCCCAACGACGATCACCCATAGGGTTGATTTGTTGATTGTTTCTTCCCTCTTGCTGTCGTTGCTGTAGCGGACGGTTATTGTCACCATCTCTGTCTTGATTGTTGTTATTGTTAGCCCCAGCGGCTCTGTTATTAGCGGTCAGAGCAGCGATCAAGGTTTGTTGATTTTGCGCCAAAGTTTCTCCTAGGGTTTGCATAGTTTGCTGAAACGTGTTCTGCAGATTTTCCTGAAACGCTAGCATCGTACGCTGCAGGTCTGCCATGGATATATCCTCCGGTGTATCCTTCTTTGGAGGCATTATAAATCAAACCAGAAACGTCCTGTAATCTGATACCAACTGATGGAGTTGCGGAAGCGTAAAAGACAAATAAGCTTCGTTCTCTTAGAGAGGAGTCGAAACAGACTTATTTGTTGAGCTTAGATGATCGATAATCTTCTAGGTTTAAGGGGTTGAGAGTACTCCTCTCAGTGCTGTGAAGACACAAGCTCTTTTGGGAAGTTAAGACTTCCTCTTTTTGGTTTTTTTTATTGATTTTCTCAAAAGCAAAACATGATTCTTAAAACACAGACTCGAGGTTCTTATATAGTCCTCTAACACAAGCCTAAAGGAAACAGGAACATTTAAGAAAAGGAAAAGTTCAAAGCAAAAGCCAAACTAGAAATAGAAAGAACGTAAACACTGACTCTATGACTCCTAACGTGATAAGGATGCGCTGCATCATTTTGTGATTTAGGATGAATGTTAAGTGGAGTTGGATAGGCTCTTGTAACCATTATCTGTTCTCTTATGTGACTTTATTGTTACTTACGGGCTATAAGGTTCAAATTTGCAGGTTCAAACTGCAGGTTCAAACTGCAGGTTCAAATCTGCAGGTTAGTCATCCAAATTTGTCATCCAAATTTTAGTAGTTTTGGATACCTTAATTTTTTTATATCTGTAGAGATTTATTCTGTCGGCTTTTGTATTTTGATTTGTTTTTGTTTTTTGGACTGTTAGTTCCATAGTTTTGGATGCTTTGTTTTGTCTATCTGGAGATTTATTACATTAGCTTTTGTACTTTAATTTGTTTTACTTTTTGGATTTTTAGCTTAATAAAAACTTCTATCCTTACTGGTTTTGTATAAAGTTACGGCTTTGCAAAACCGTTTAATATTTTCAGTTAAAAAAAAAAGGTTCTCCTTCTTATATTTTGGAATAATAACAACACAAATATTGAAGAAACTTGGTAGTAGAGAAAACTAGAGGAATGTGTTTTTCCACATTTATTATTTAACTACACTTATAAATCAAATTTAAAACATTTCTTCTAACTATCATTTTCCACTTTTTACTATTTCATTCCTTTTTTCTCTGTTTCTCTAATTGCACATTAATCAAAAGATTCAAAACCGGAGTATTAGAAAGTTTGTTGTATGTATGAAACATGAAGACTGCCGTAAATAGACAAACAAGGGATAACGTTTTGAGGATACAAAATCGAGAAAAAAAACTATATTTTTAATTGGGACGTTAGGAGATATTATTACTAAAAAGAGAAATTCAAATCAGACCTTTGTCAGTTTCTTTGCAGTAATTCTAAACATGTTACCCGTGAGAGAGATTGTCAGTGAAGTCACATTCAATCAATAAGAATCAATCATACAAGAAGAAGAAGAACCAATCCAAACTCTGCTAATATCTCCTCCAACCAAAAATCAAATCTTTTTGTTTCTTCTTGTTTCTCTGCTTAGCCTTCGTCAATGGAAGAAGAAGATAGGATTGAAGAAGGAAGCAGCAACAACAGTTTGAGACGTGTTGATACCGGAAGCAGCGAACGGAGTAGATGGGTAGACGGAAGCGAGGTGGGCTCTGAAACGCTACCGTTTTCGGAGTTCAGAGATGGAGAGTATAGTTTTGGGAATTTGAGAAGAAGACTAATGAAGAAGCCCAAAAGAGCTGATTCTCTCGATGTAGAAGCCATGGAAATCGCAGGTGCTCATGGCCACAATCTCAAGGTTAAGATTTTAGATTCACCCATGAATAAAGTTTTGATCTTTTTGAGTGCCCATTTGTTGTTTGTGTTATTGACAAATCCACTTTTTGTTGTATTGAAAAATGGAATTTTTTTTTGCAGGACTTATCACTTTTGGGTACGATTGGGATAGCGTTTCAGACGTTAGGTGTTGTTTATGGTGACATGGGAACAAGCCCTTTGTATGTGTTCAGTGATGTCTTCAGTAAAGTTCCAATAAGATCAGAAGTTGATGTTCTTGGTGCCTTGTCTCTCGTCATCTACACTATTGCTGTGATTCCTTTAGCAAAGTATGTCTTTGTAGTCCTTAAAGCCAACGACAACGGCGAAGGTAATGCATCAGAATCGATTTTTTTTTGTAAAGTGGTGTTTTGGGGTTCTCATTATGTGTGTGTGTGTGTATGTGTATGTGCAGGAGGAACATTTGCTTTGTATTCTTTAATTTGTAGGTATGCAAAGGTGAATAAGCTGCCAAATCAACAACCCGCAGATGAGCAGATCTCGAGTTTTAGGCTTAAACTGCCAACTCCTGAGCTGGAACGAGCTTTGGGCATTAAAGAAGCTTTGGAGACAAAAGGATATTTGAAAACTCTTCTTCTGCTCTTAGTCCTAATGGGAACTTCCATGATTATTGGTGATGGAATTCTGACACCAGCTATGTCAGGTGAGTCTGAATTGTATTGTAGTTGTTGCAATAGTTTCCCCAAAAGGTCTTGAATCCATACGGTGTAACTTTGGCGCTTTTACAGTTGAGATTTCATAATCTAAGAAGCGGTTAAGGTGGAGGCTGAGGTTTGATCTTCTTTTTTAATTGTTATGCAGTGATGTCTGCAATGAGTGGTCTACAAGGTGAAGTTGAGGGATTTGGAACAAGTGGGTATCACTATCACACGATTTCTCTTTATATGTCTAAGCAATTGCGTCTTGATGTGTTGTGTTGTATTGCGTCTTGATGTCATTTTGATCATTGATATTCAATCTTTCTGTGTGTTGTGTTAGATGCATTGGTTACGTCTTCGATTGTGATTCTTGTGGCGTTGTTCAGCATACAACGGTTTGGGACGGGTAAAGTGGGTTTCCTCTTTGCTCCAGTTCTCGCTCTCTGGTTTTTCTCTCTCGGTTCTATCGGAATCTATAATCTGTTGAAGTACAACATCACCGTCGTAAGAGCACTAAACCCGTACTATATCGTTTTGTTCTTCAACAAGAATAGCAAACAGGCTTGGTCTGCTCTTGGAGGATGCGTCTTATGCATTACAGGTAAAGAAACACACTCTCACGGTCTTACCACACAACTTCTAAAAAATCAAACCTTTCTTACAATGTTTGAAACTATGCAGGAGCCGAAGCAATGTTTGCAGATTTAGGACATTTCTCAGTTCGTTCTATACAGGTTTGGCATCACCTTGTGATCATTGATTATGTTAATGATGATGACCATACTAATGATATTTGGATCAGATGGCATTCACTTGTGTGGTGTTCCCGTGCCTTCTCTTGGCTTACATGGGTCAAGCTGCTTATCTAACAAAGCATCCTGATGCATCAGCTCGCATCTTCTATGATTCAGTTCCAGGTAATGAATCAACATACTCCGCAGGCCTCTGCTCAGTTATTTCTTGATATGGTAATGCACAGTATGTTGAAACTTTTGAAAAAATGCAGAGAGTTTGTTCTGGCCGGTGTTTGTAATTGCGACATTAGCAGCAATGATAGCTAGCCAAGCTATGATCTCCGCGACTTTCTCATGCGTCAAACAAGCCATGGCTCTCGGTTGCTTCCCGAGGCTGAAGATAATCCACACTTCTAAGAAACGGATTGGTCAAATCTAC